CACGGTTCGTGAGGCTCTTGATCTCAGCTCAGGTCAGGGCCTCACGGCTCGTGAGTTCAAGCCCCGAGTTGGGCTCTGCGCTGATGGCGTGGAGCCTGCTTGGGATTCTCTCTCCTCTGCCCCTTCCCTGCTTGTGTTCGTTCTCTCTCTCTCTCAAAATAAATAAATAAACTTAAAAAAAGAAGAAGAATATGGGCTTTGTTTATAGCTGTTCTCTGAAAAATGAAACTGTTTTGGTTAGGCCCTTATGGAAACGTGGGGAAGGAGGAAGAAGGGACAGTTACCTGAGTGAGGACTTAGCCAAAAGCTGAAGGATTATCTAAACTGCATGTTTTGTCCAGAAATTGGGGGCGACAGTTACCTTGACTGGGCTCAATTTCTGGCCAAGTTTCACAGACATGATCTCAATCAACTCCTATCACCCCACCAGCCAAAAAAGTGAAAGGTCCATGAAGGGGTACTCTTTCTCTCCTTTTTTGAACCGCTATAATTCACATGAAAGACTGCAAGAATAAACATGGAAGTGGAGGGGCCAAGAGGTAAGACTTGTTTTTTTTTTTAATTTTTTAATGTTTATGTTATTTTTGAGACAGAGAGACAAAGCGTGAACGGAGGAGGGGTGGAGAGAGAGGGAGACACAGACTCTGAAGCAGGGTCCAGGCTCCGAGCTGTTCAACACAGAGCCCAGTGCGGGGCTCAAACTCATGGAACTGTGAGATGATGACCCGAGCCGAAGTCGGACGCTTCACCGACCGAGCCACCCAGGCGCCCCACGTAAGACTTGTTTTGAGAGCCCTGTAGTTCCAGCCCATTTGTACCTTCTTGGCAAACCTTTGGCAATCCAATCGCCCTTTCTAGGCCCAAGTCCCTAATTTCAAGACAAGGAGAAGCTCAAAGAAATAAACATGGGGGCTCCTTAAATTCACCGAAAGACCTTAGGCCAACAGGAAATAGAATGCCAAGAAATACATGCCTTCCTGCCTGTCAGTTGGTTTGACTGCTGAGCATTTTGTGGAAGAAAATCTTTTCCAGTCCTAAAAAGAATTTGTTTTTATTTAAATTGGTAGGCAAGGTAAAATTTGGTAAAGTGGGGGGTAAATTGGTATACTTGTTAATTTGGTGGGCTAGGATTTTCATTATAAAAGCCCCTGATCCTTTCTTTTTTAATCCTTTTTTCCCAGATATCTTAATCTAGCTCATTACTTGTTCTCCCTGAGAACCTTCTTTTTAAGTTTCCTGTTTTCAGTTGTTTGGCCATTTTGGTTTTGTAACAGCACAGTCGGAAGACGACAGGCTTCCACAGAATTTTCCAATCTGCAGCAATTCCTACTGCCCCCCCCCCACCTCATTGTCACCTATTCACCCAAAGGGACAAATCCACTCATCGGAAGTGAAAAACCCTCTTTGTTAAAGTCGGTCTCCTCACCTCGCAGCCTCTTCCTCGTCTCTCCTCTTTTCTTTTTTCCTTTCTTCCTCTAGTTCTTGTAATTTTAGCCTTTCTTGATTTCTCCTCCTTATGGCTCCTTCGCTGAAATGTTTGGTCCTATCAAACATAACCTGCCCACAAACAATGCAGAGCTTCATTAGAAAAGTTTGCCAGCTGGCTGGGTATGTCCCAGGTCAGTGAGATGGAACGGGTATGTACATTACCATCCAAAACCCAAGGAGTTCAAAATGCCCTCTCTGCATCCCAGTGTCCAGATGGTTCCGCTGCTTCGTGGTCACCTGCCAAACAGCCCTGTAGAACTTCCTTTGGCAGAACCCTTGAGGAGCTCGAATATAGCTATAGATGACATCACGGTGTCATTTTGGGCACAGGGTCTGAGGGATGTGAGTATATTACCTCTGGTTTGTTATAGCAATCAACTGAGTTCATGTATTTTTTTTTAATCATCAGAGACAAAAATAGTCAAAAAAGGGGGGGGGGGGAGCAGAGGGGGCGGGGAGCGAAGAGGCAAGAAAACTGACCTAATGGGATACAGACGTCGGACTGTAGTGATTATTAAGCTACTTTGCAAATCTCAAAATAAAGTGAAAGTCAGATCGAGGCACTACAAACAAATTTGCTCGAAAAATAAAAGGAGACAGAAATAGCCCTTTTAAATATACACAAGAGGGGCGCCTGGGTGGCGCAGTCGGTTAAGCGTCCGACTTCAGCCAGGTCACGATCTCGCGGTCCGTGAGTTCGAGCCCCGCGTCGGGCTCTGGGCTGATGGCTCAGAGCCTGGAGCCTGTTTCCGATTCTGTGTCTCCCTCTCTCTCTGCCCCTCCCCCGTTCATGCTCTGTCTCTCTCTGTCCCAAAAATAAATAAACGTTGAAAAAAAAAAAAAAATAAATAAATAAATAAATAAATATACACAAGAATGATAAACACCAAATTCACAATCATGGCTATCTTTGAGGGGAGGAAGGGGAATGGGGTCTCCTCTCACTGGTGATGTTTTCTTTCGTAAGCCGGGCAATGGGTACATGGGTGGTCACCATGGTACGTGTTATATCTTTTGTCTGGCTGAATAGCTCCTAATTTAAAAAGATATATTTTAGGGGTGCCCGGGTGGCTCAGTTGGTTGAACGTCTGACTCTTGATTTTGGTCATGATCAAAGGGTTGTGGGATCAAGCCTCAGGTTGGACTCTGTGCTGAGTGTAGAGCCTGCTTAAGATATTCTCTCTCTCTCTCTCTCTCTCTCTCCCCCCTCCCTCCCCCCCCCCACTTGCACGCACTCTCTCTAAGAAGATGGCCAAGCATTCAGACATCGATGAGGTGGCATGACTGGACAGACAGGATGATCTTGAAAGGAAAGCATCCAAGCTTGTTGAGGTTACGTTCCAACAATTTACCTGACAGACATCCTGAAAATGTAAGCTGTTGCCCCAAGAGGACAGAGGGAGTAAACCGCTCTCCTGTGGTTTCAAACTGCATGTATCCCTCTCTCTCAGCAACTCATCAAATAGAACAGGCATACGAGACAGTTCCATAAGGGCCAGAGGAATTCTTCAGTGCCCTGGAGAAGTTAGGGCAGAACCCCGGATAATAACAAAACCCCAGCCAGCAGCATGCCTGCTAGCAGAGAATGTTCAAATCCGGATTATTTTTATTCCTAAACATCCATTTATTAGTGACAACACAAATCTCCACATTAGCTGTCAATCAGAGCCTATCTGTCAATCAGATAGGAAATTTATTCTAGATGCTTCCTTCCAGCTTTTGCTCAGGACCACCTGGACAGTGGGGAATGAAAGAAATTCTGGCTCCTTCTTACCTTGATGTTACAGGCCAGAGCTTTCCCATCATCTCCTTTGAGCATTAGCTTCATACCTCGAAGGGACTCCATGGCTTTTACAAAGTCCGTCGACTCCTGGTACTGTATAAAGGCCTCAAACGTCTGCAAGCCGAAGCCGAAGCCCCCGAAGTTCCCACCAGTCGTCACTTCTCGGTAGGGGTCTAGCATAGGGATGTCCACATTCTTGATCTTTCCAAAGCTTTCAAAGACCACCCGGAGGATCTCTTCACAGGGCTTCTCCCCGCTGGAGCCTTTAGGTGCAAACCACTTGCAGGGCAAGCCTTCAAAATATATAGAGTCGGGGCTCTTATCCTGGTCCTGCTCTTCAGCCCCATCACTCGATGAGGCCTCCTTCTCCCTGGGGAAGCGCTCCCACTCTCCCTGGGCGTCCGTAGCCACTACTTTTAAGTCTGTTTTCAAACCGTTTAGCTTGATGATCTTTCCATGTAACTTTGCCTTCAAGATCTGAACCAGACTTCGCGTTTCGGCCTCCCCCTCGAACCGGATGAAGTCCTTGGTACTCTTAGAGAGCCGGACTGTGGTGAACTGATCAGGGCAAATTAGGCTCTTAAGCTGGTCGAGAACTTCCCAGTTGGAGAAGGGTCTCATGGGTTCTGAGCTCTCTGGGAGCAATACATTGATCATCAGTTTTGCTATGGGCTTGAGGTAGAGGTGCTGAGCTGCACAGAGCTCTGTGGCCTCAGAGTTATCATACACCACGGTGACCGTCATGGTAGCCCCCGGAAACCTTAGAGGGTGAGAGAGAACATTTTCATACAGATGGAGCAAAACACGGATTTGGACTTCGAAGGCTGCTAGCATTCCTGGACTTCAGGTCAACTGATAGGGGAAAGCGCACTTTGGGGAGAATGAAGACAATAGCTCGCATTCGTTTAACGTGTTTTAGGGGTTTCAAAGTTTCCGTATACAGTTGGCCCTTGCACGGGACGGGGGTGAGGGGCACCAACCCCCCCTCACCCTCATGCGGTTGAAAATCCACGCATAATTTTGGCTGCCCCCAAACCCAACTACTAATCGCCTACTGTTAACCAGAGCCTTACCGACAACAGAAACAATCGAGGGACATATATTTTGCATGTTATATGGATGTTATATGGATGGTATACTATATTCTTACAATGAAGTAAGCTAGAGGAAAGAAAAGGTTCTTAAGAAAATCAGAAGGAAGGAAAAAAATGGGGGCACCTGGCTGGCTCAGATAGTGGAGCATGCAACTCTCGATCTCGGGGTTCTGAGTTTGAGCACCGCATTGGGTGTAGAGGTTACTTTAAAAAAAAAGAAGAAGAAGAAGGGGCGCCTGGGTGGCTCGGTCGGTTAAGTGTCTGACTTCGGCTCGGGTCATGATCTCACGGTTCATGAGTTCAAGCCCCACGCTGGGCTTTGTGCTGACAGTGAGGAGCCTGCTTGGGATTCTCTCTCTCTCTCTCTCTGCCCCTCCCCCACTTGCGCACTCTCTCTCTTTCTCTCTGAGTGAATAAATAAACTTAAAAAAAAAAAAAGAAAAGGGGCGCCTGGGTGGCTCAGTCGGTTAAGCGTCCGACTTCGGCTCAGGTCATGATCTCACGGTCTGTGAGTTCGAGCCCCGCATGGGGCTCTGAGCTGAGTGCTCGGAGCCTGGAGCCTGCTTCCGATTCTGTGTCCCCCTCTTTCTCTGTCCCTCCCCCACTCAACGCTCTGTCTCTCTCCCTCTCTCAAAAATAAATAAACATTGAAAAGAAAAGAAAATCATAAGGGAAAATACATTTATGGTACTGTACTGTATTGATCGCAAAGAAATCCGTGTATAAATGGACCCGCATAGTTCAAACCTGTGTTGTTCAAGGGCCAACTGTACTGTGTTTCAGTTTCCTTCACTGAAAAATTGAGATTCTAGGATTTCTGAGAGGATTCAATGAGCAAGTACATGTGAAAGCTTAAGAATAGTGCCCGGCACAAAGGAAGTTCTCAATAAACACAAGCTATGATGATTCTTTATTTGTGGCAAAAGTGTTATTTTATCTCATTTGATTCACGAAGCAACCTATAAGGATTTTCATGCCTGTTTTACAGATAGGGAAATTCAGACGGATTCAGAAAAATTCAGTGACTTGCCCATACATTGAGACCCCAAGATTCCAAATCTTCAATCTATTGCATGATTGATCTCAAAGGTCAAATCCCAGAAAAACTGGCTGGGGATACTACAGAAACGAAGCAAGGATAAAACACCCATAGCGCATTCGGGAACACGCACCTGATTTAACATCCTTGGTCCAGGTTGGTTTCTAGGTCTTACGTGGACATATCCACTCGTATGCTCCCAGTCTATTGACATGAACTAAACTGACCTCTAAGTTCCAATGCAGAAGAACCATCCTCTTCTAATGAATGACCAAGTGAATTTGCCCTTGACCTAAAAATCCCCCAAACATGAGTGCCTGCTGGCATTTCCTATTAACAAACTCTTTTAAGCTGCCCAAGGTGCCCCAAGATTACAAATACTGGGAATCAAGGATTTCTGCTCCTATTTGCTGACTTCAAATAGCACTTTCCAATAAAGGAGTTTTTTCTAAAGTGGATATATCCAGAGTCTATAAAACCTGAGTTTCTCATGTTTTATGTCAACTTCCAATGTCAACTTCTGAGAGGTTTAGACTCAAGCATACACGGCCAGATGATAGAAATTCTAACACAAAATCTACTACTAAATCTTGGTTAACTTTGTAGGTACATAATTCTTTAATAACTGTCCATAAAGGACAGTCCAAGTCAATTTCCTTGAGGAGACAAAGTTTGCGTAGACTGTTTTTTTAAAGGCCTCCAAAGGTTATATCTAAGATATTAAGGTTCTTAGAAATTCTTATAATAGCAACACTGAACTGGGGTGTTATGAAAACAAACATGCTCTCTTTCTCCAAAAACATTATCTAAATAGCAAAATGAGGGAAAAAATCCAGTTACTTTGCTGCAACGTGCAACCTAAATGAGAGTCAACGCTAAGCTCCTTTAGGGGAGAAAAATTAATTTGATATTCAACTAAGATACACAGAACTCCCAAATTCATCTACAGTCAATAGGTATTTGTTTACACAACCTAATTCAAAGCAACAGCTTTTAAAAAACCTTCCAGAAAAAATACACACAGAGTAGTTAACCACTTCAAAGTGATCAGGTTTGTCATGCTCTCCCCATTTATTCCAGTGACAAGCCTTTGTTTTAAACATTTCAGAATGCTTCCTTTTGGATTGATTTCAAAGTCTGGGTTACATTCTTTTAAATAGCCTCGACGGGGGTCAATTTTGAAATTCTTTTATCATGGATTTGATATTTAGAAATTATCAAAAATTACCTAGAATTGGGGCGCCTGGGTGGCTCAGTCGGTTAAGCGTCTGACTTTGGCTCAGGTCATGATCTCACAGTTTGTGAGTTCGAGCCCCGCATAAGGCTCTGTGCTGACGGCTCGGAGCCTGGAGCCTGCTTAGATTCTGTGTCTCCCTCTCTCTCTGACCCTCCCCCCGTTCATGCTCTGTCTCTGTCTCAAAAATAAATAAAAATTAAAAAAAAAATTACCTAGAATCAAGAACGTTGAATAAAATGGTTGACTATAAAAAACAAACTGATTTTCTTAACTGGCTTATAACCGCCTCCCCCCAAAAAAGGAGATTCTAATAAAGGCTCTGATTCTTGCTTTTTTAATTCGTGGGTACATCGTTGGAATGAGTGCAGAGCTTTGAAAGATGACAACTTTGAAGGACAACAGTCATTTGAATGTGGTGGTATAAGAGTTGTAAAAGTAATCGCAAGTTTCCACCCAGCCCCGTATCTGTACTCTGCGATGTGACTTTGAGTTACTGCTATCAAGAGATAGAGTCAGGGCGCTTGGGTGTCTCAGTTGGTTAAGCGTCTGACTCTTGATTTCGGAAGATGTCCTAGACCAGCCAGCCCCCAGCCAACCCACCAACTGACCACTGACACGTGAGCAAGTACAACAGTCCTGCCAACCTATAGACTTGTGAGAAACAATAAATCCCTGTTGTTTAAGCCACTAAGTTTGGGGATGGTTTGTTACACAACAATAGCTAACTGATACATGTATTGAACTCTTAATCCGTTTCAAGATATACAATTACAAGGGCACCTGGGTGGCTCAGTCAGTTAAGCGTACGTCTTCAGCTCAGGTCATGATCTTGTGATTTGTATAAGTTCAAGCCCCGCGT